GACACAGAACCCAAGGCAGCATTCGATAATGTGGCTGGCATTTTGTGGTCAGAAAAATGAAGAGAATGAATACAAAAGCTCCCCATTTGTACTGGCTGAGTGACTGCTAGATCATAGCAATGAAACCTCACCATTTGAAAGTGAGTATATCACATTCATTTAACTACCTCTTCTGAGCCCATCGGCTGTAGTGAATACAGGTAGATCACAGAATTGCACCAGGAGCCCTGGACTGCTTGTGTCAAGGGTGAATTCCGGCTGTAGTACTGAAATCCAAAGGACTGTTACTGGAATTGTTACAACTATGTGACATACTGTAGCAATCACTGACAAGACGAGACAAATGCTGAAAGCAGGATAATTTGGAAAAGGTGAAACTCTGACATAGCTTATCCACTTTAAAATATTTACAAATGTTATGGAGTAGATTTCCGCACCACTCCTCTCTTTCCCAGACAGAGAACTTTCTCCCGAGAAGTCTACAACTGCAGGTCCTCTAACGTGATCTATGCCATCAAGTGTCGGCAATGCCCCTCTGCCAGGGATATCGGCCAAACTGGGCAGTCTCTACGACAAAGGATAAATGGACACAAATCAGACATCAGAAATGATCACACACAGAAACCTGCGAGGGAACATTTTACCTGTCTGGTCACTCAACCATGGATTTAAAAGTAGCTGTTCTTCTACAAAGGAATTTTACCAGCCAATTACAGAGACTCCAGAACTGAAATTCATCTACAAATTTGACACTGTTACCCTGGGCTTGAATTCAGACATTAACTGGTTGGCATATTACAAAGCCAATTTCCCCTGCCATTGACATCTGCACTTTCACACATCAAAAGCTATGCATGGGGACACTTCCAGCCCACTTATTTAGCCTCATTAACATGAGTCCTGCAATTGACAGGTAACTGCTTTTGCTGTTATTTCCCCTCCAACTCATCTCTTGAAGTGATCTTACCCATGAAGCTCATGACCCTATATATTTTCATTGGTCTCTAAAGTGCTACAGGACTCCTCGTCATTTCTCAAGAACTCTAGTCTACTATCCCTAAACGAGGAAAAGCATAACGCCCAGGAGTGGCCTGAGGCGGGCTGCGGCAGTTGGCGCCCCAGGCAAAATGCGTGATTGGTGCCCCCGCCTGCACGGCCGTCAATGGGGTGACATTATCATCCGGCACCCCGTGACGTCATCATCGTGCAGCAGTGCCCTAGGCGACAGCCAAGTCGGCCTATAGCCACGAGCCGCCCCTGATAACGCCAAAGAAATGTTTGAATGATATAAAAATCCTATTAGCAGTTTGAGTAACCTTTTGGAGCTGCCATACGTACTATGTTTCTCCCCAAAACAGTCTGCCTATTTGTCAGAAGCTAGAAGGGGTGACCTGGGATGGATCACTAGATGATTCCCTGCTCTGTTCATTCCCTCTGGGGCACCCGGCAATGGCCGCTGGGCTGGACGGACCATTGGTCTGACCCAGTCAGGCCGTTCTTATGCATTGATTGGTTTAAGGAATTCTTTTTTTGTCCTTACTCTGCTGACTTGTTTTGAATGCTACAGTGTACTGTTAACACACAAAGATAAAATACGATTTTTATAAAAGCCAAATCGGTACTGTTGCAAAAGCATTTGCACAGCAAATCCCTAGAATACGTGACAAAGTTGGAGACAAGCCAACAACTTCTATCTCTTTGCTTCTCTTTTTACAGTAACTGCTGAAAACAGAATTGGATTCATTCTGGAGGCATTATCCTCTGATGCCAAGAGACCTTTATCTGCGTGACTAGGTACAAGTTATACATTAGTCTAAATTCTCCCATTCCATAGTACCCGCATACTTTCTACATACATGATAATTGCCAGATTTCAGATCAGCGACCTAACCAGATGGATACGAAGTGGCTGACTAATCTGTACGCAATATGTAGTTTAGGTAGAATTTTCTAAGTTTAATTACAGCAGAATTTTCCTGAAGCTAATTTAAAATTTAAACAACCCAATGTGTATGTGAGGATTTTTATTATTATTATTTTAAAGCTCTGTGGTTACTTTGTTCTTTTGTTAAAAATAAGTCATTAAAGTCAAAATTAAAAGGCAAAATGAAAAACCACTGGGCATAGAAAATCCACCAAGAGTTCAAAAGAACCTCTTAAGACACAAGTTGAGTGGAGGAGGAAGAGCGAGATGTATCTAGGCTGCTCAGTCAGTGGCAAATTTTCCATATACCAGTTCCTGAAGCTTATGCTCTGTTTAAGCCCCGAACAACAGGATAAAAACGGATTTTTAGGCGAGTGCTGCCACATTCTCGGAGCGATTAGGGAGTTGTAATGTTGGAGACTGGCCCTGCACAGTGTCGTTAGTCCTCATTAACTTTGTTTTAGAAAGTACACTCAATGAGATTTCAAGTGGTAACAGCCCACCGAGCTGCATCGTCACCCAGGCAACTTTCATGGCTAATTTATAGCTAGAAATGAGGGTTTTTTTTAACAAAAATGAATGTTATGCAGATAGACGTGATCACACAGCAAACCTGCATGAAGGTCCCCATTGGGAAACCATCCTTCAGTCATCTGGGCCAAGCCGTCAGACATTACAAAAAAAAAATCACAAGAGCTTTCCTAGTTTGTCAAAAAAGATGTGTTCATTCTGACGTAGCACTTCAAGCTTTCTCTGCAATTAGGCCTCCCAGGAGAACCAGGCATTTTATGCCCGATCTCAAGTCCACCAAAATCCCTCCATTGATTTCAGTGGGCTTTGGATCAAGTCTTGTGTGAACTCTGCCTGTGGGATGAACGACTGGAGCAGCGAGAGCTTGACAAATTGCACTAGTATGTGCAGAAGAAAACAAATGCTTCTGCAAACAGGACAGCTGGGGCCCTAGCTGAATTGGAGGATGACTGTCAGAGTCGGGGCTGAGTTGTGGGCAAGACGTGGAAAATCACAGAGAAGTAATAATGGATCTTTACTAACTGCAGCGACTAGGAAAAGGAAGGGAAGACCTGTCGAAGAAAAAGTTGCTGGAACAACATGACCACTCAACAACTAGGTTTTGCCTGTTCATTTTTTTGACAACCAGACAGGTTGTTGCAGCGACAGCACAGTCGTTAACGTGCGGGGCTGACAGCGGGAGCACGACCACGCACTGTCGGCCCAGGCAGCTGACAAAACCACAGAGGAAGCCTAATATTGCGGGATGTGCAATTTCTACACTAGCGTGAATGACACCAAGCCGAGACTGAGACGTGTTTTCTTCCGTGGGAAGGAGGGGGAAGAGCGCTCAGGCAGATGGATCGGCATGACAGTGCCTGATCTGGAGAGAGCGCCAAGGAGAACCTACCGAGACCAGAGGTGTGGGGCCTGGCAAAGCCCAGCAACACTGTGCACTCAGATCATTGCAAGAGGCGATGGCTTGCTGACAAGAACCTGGAACGTAGCCCTGCATTTGCGCTGCCGAGGAGGGAGCTGCCAGAGAGCTGGGGAGTGTGTCGGAAGGGAGGAAGGGCAGCTTAGAATCATAGATTAGGGTTGGAAGAGATCCCCACTTGTTCAGGCTAAGCCTGTCTCCAAAGGGCCTGCTCTAAGCCAGCCCTGTGGCAACACAACCACTCCCCTCTTGCCCAGGCCTTCCTCTGCGTGTCTCAGCCCAGCCAAGCACACCGGTCTGGCCTCTCCTTTCGGAGGGGCAGCGTGGCTCAGGGCTGGCTCTGCACTCAGAGGGGCTAAGTTCTATTCCTGGCCCCCAGCAGAAACGATGCTGGGGAATGGCCCCCATCTGGAGCACAGCTCTAGGTAAGGTAACCCACTGGTACAGCACAAGCTGCACCCTTCCCCACTGGCCCAAAGAACAGGACAAGCGCCACCTGCTGCTGCCCATGCTCGGCTAATTCAATTCGGTTGTTCATGATTCTAGGTAACAACACAGTGCACAGGGTGGCTGCCAGGATGCCCTGTAGGAATACACCGTGCGGATTTACACTGTGCCGGGCTGTCCTGTGAGAATACACCGTGCGGATTTACACTGTGCCGGGCTGTCCTGTGAGAATACACCGTGCCCTTTGCGCTGATATAACAGCACCTGTGCGGGGCACGGCACAAAATACGTCTTCCGTTTGTTTTAGAGCTGCTGCCTGTTCGTGTCATTGGCTGAGCCCTGGTTCTTGGGTTGCACGCAGGGGGAATGCACGCCACGCCCTGTGTGCTTTCACAGACCTGCGTGGCGGACTTCAGAGAGCAGCCAGCGTGTAAGCAGACACTTTCCTGCTGCCAGCACCTCCCCAGCAGACCCCTTCCGCTCCTGCAGATACATGCCGCTCTGTTCTGCCCAGCTCCAGCCCCGCAGCCTCTGCTGGGTAGCAGCTGCAAGAAATGAAGAACTGAACCCTCTCTTCCCCCTCCCACTCTTGGGACAACTGTCCCCATTACTAGCCCAGACTCTGACCCTCCTGCCCACCCCTGCACCCCACACTGCACTAAAGCCCTTTGTTTATTCACACACTGTAGGCTTGCTCATGCTGCTTCACCAATGCGTATCAACGTGACCTTGAGACACCGCCCTCTCCTGGGATACGCATGTTTTCCAGTCCCAGGATCTCTGGAGTGAGGGCTGACAGCTCTTTAGAAGAAGAAAAAAACAGCAGGTGGGAGGGATGACATCCTGATGTGCACTTGGGTCCACAGGATAAAATGGAGATGGATCAAACTCAGGTCTGCAGTACCCTTGGCCCAGATGAAGATTGCACAGAGACCCTGTCCTTCCACTAGTGCAGGGTCCGAGGCCATCTCCGGACAAGGAACTGAGTATTTCTGCCGGCATGCTTTGTGTATTGTTTTCCACCTCAAAAGAAAACATATAACCTACGCATCTTTTCATGTGTCCCCACTTCAAACTTTATTTGCTTGGCTCCGTTGAGAAAGTATTTATCCTTACAAAGATTTTAAATCTTTGAGTACAAAAAAAATACTTTGTTTCTTTAAAAAAAAACCCATTAAGTCATTAAACATCAGCATTATATTTCTGGAAGCAGGTAAATTGGTGGTATTCTGTAGCTTGCTATATAATTTTATCTTTTAAAAAGCAGGATTTCCACCCCATGGAAAACTATGGTGTATTTCATGCAAGATGTCGACCCAACTGTTACATTTTTTCAAATGGATTTCTCTTGCTTACCAGTTAGTAAAGATATGTTATTCATTCGAGGATCTGCTTCCTTGTCGTTCACCTGCTCCTGAGACTAAACTTGCAGTGCTGTGCTACTGAAGAATTTGTGACATCACATGAGTTTCCAGGGCAGAAATCTGTCATGTCCTATGTACAATAAAACAATTTCACAGAAAATGCTTCACCAGAAAGATTGGGTTTTGTGTTGCTGTTTCCTTTCCCCTTCCCTGCCCCGCCTCCAGGTCTCCCCAGTGTGAAAGCCTTTCTTTAAAGTCAGGCTGCATGGGAATCACATGTGCTTAAAAGGAATCGCTTGAAGGAAGAAAAGGCCAATACGCTCCACTGTGGACCTTTCCCCTCATTCGTCCAAATGAACAAAAACGCTAAACAAAAGCAAAAAGCCCCCAACCTTTCAACAACTTACAGCAAAAGAGGGACTGCAGAAAAATACAGTGTGGTTTTACTGGAGTACATTAAGAATTTCCTACCCAATGAACAACACGAAGCGAGGCAAATACTCTCTTTAAGAAGCTAAGAGACAAGCTCAGTATTAATTGTCTTCTTGGCTTTATGCATCCACGCCTGTAGGCAAAGGTGGATTCAAATTCTACATCTCAGCACAGGGTCCGAAAATACCCGGGGAAAACAGTGCCAACCTCGCTCCCTCCCACCGCAGCTTTCTGTTAACCGATTAGCAGCTGGATTCCTGTTTCGATTTCTTTTTCCTCTGTTTTATAAGAAATAAACTCTTATCAATGGTGGGGCTGCTGTCTCTCTTGTTTCTCGGCCTTCGCTTTTTCTTCTTCTTCTTAGCTGCATCCAGCAGCTCCTGGCCATTTTTTGTTCTCCTGCCATGTGGAGAAAAGGCAGAGCTGGGATGCTTTTTGCTGGATGTTTTGCTGCCCTTGGGAGAGTGTGTTCTGCCCCCCCGAGGAAAGTCCTGCTCCTGGTCGGTATTCCTTTGGACCTCTTTCTTGTGTTTCTTCTCCCTGTGTTGGTCTGCCCAGGACTTCTTACTGGCGTGTTTCTGGGGCTTTTCTTCTTTAGGACTCTTGACAAGCTCTTTCCAATGGTTTTTCTTTTTCTTATGGCACTGCCCCCTGTGTTCTTCTTCCTTGCGCAGTCTCTTGAACTGCCCTGGCAAAAGGCCGGCTTCTTGAAGTTCTGTAAAACAGAACAGTTTCTTTTAATACTCACTCGCAGGCCAGAACCATAGCGCCTGCGGACCACAGCTCTGAACAGTTTGTGGCGCTGGACCACCACCGGTATGTGAAAATCCGAGGACCGTGATATAACTCAGACATTTTGGCAAATGCTGGGTACGCCAGAAGTCTGTCAGCATGTCATTTTAAAGTGCAGTTGCAGCCAGAAAAGTGGTGATGGGGCTTCCCCCACGCATTCTCCCAGTGAGGTCAGACCAAATCTGCAAACGACTGCCTCCTATGTGCCGGATGGAAGAGTCATCCAGCCAGTCTGGCACTGGAAAGTCACACAGTGCCAGCTTACCTCTGAGATGCCTAAGCCCCACGGCTGTGCACTCCAAAACTGTGCTAGCTGCGAAGGGGCTATCCCTATTCTGTGGATGGGTCTTCAGAGCTCTGGGCAGAATAAGGATCAGACCCTGCTAGCTTCACTCGTATCGAGTAGTGCCTTCCACCACATGGGGCCGCCTCATAGAAAGGGGGTATTTTTTCATTGTAATTGTTTTTGGTGACCCATTTTTAAAAACATAATTTACAATTCAGAGAACACTCTTCCCATTGGGGATGTTAAATTTAGTTTAATCAACCAATCGACTAGTTGATGGATAAGCTGGGAACCGCAGCACGGCTCTGATTTTTAGATGTATTAAGAGCTGGTAGGCTCTTAATGCGTTTACAAAGCAGAGGTACAGTATCCTGGGACGGGGATTCCCGGCTCGTGCCCGGTCTTGCTACTCTCCTGTCCCCAGCAGAGAACTGGCTTTTAAGCAGGCTCCCCCCAGCACTGGCTCCTACTCCCCCACCTTGGGGGACAAGTGACTAGTCAAAGGACTGACTGACTATCCAATAAGCTTCTGCTTATCGGATAGTCGATTAGTCACTTACATCCCTACCCCTCCTCACTTTATAACCATTTTATGGCCAGTGAGATCTGGGGTTAAAGTACTTCATACAATCACAGAACACTAGAACTGGAAGGGATCTCGAGAGGTCATCGAGTCCTGTCCCCTGCCCTCATGGCAGGACCAAATACTGTCTAGACCATCCCTGATAGATGTCTGTCTAACCTGCTCTGAAATATCTCCAGAGATGGAGATTCCATAACCCCCCTAGGAAATTTATTCCAGTTTTTAACTACCCTGACCATTAGGAAGTTCTTCCTAATGTCCAACCTAAACCTCCCTTGCTGCAGTTTAAGCCCATTGCTTCTTGTCCCGTCCTCAGAGGCCAAGGAGAACAATTTTTCTCCCTAGAGTTCTTTCCAAGGTTTTGGAACAATACATTTCAGAAGCAGACTGAGGTTACCAGATCATTAATCTTGCCCTGCTTCCTGGTTGAGAGAATCCCCATTGGTATCCTCTACAATAGGGAGAAACCCAAGATTACAAAATGCCTAACAAAGCGGAATAAGTATCCCAATATGCCCTGAAGAAAGACCACTGTAAAAACATGGTGTCCAGTGGAAGCATTTCACAAAATACACCCACCTTCAACTTTCCTCTTGGCCCGCTGAGCTCTCCTCTTGATGTTGTACTGATCATCATAGTAGTAGATGAACGGAGAAGATGGGAATGTCCCACCGAACATCCGCTTCTCAGAGCACTCCTGCAAATCACACCTTTGGTTACGACATGCTGTGACATCTTGTTCAACTTTGGATTAGTGATTTTTCACAGGTAAGGAAATAAACCAGTCTCCAGATCCAAACCGCAATAGATATAAATCAGGTTTATTCCACTGATGTCTATGGATCAGTGTTGATTTACACCAGCTGGGGATTTGGCTTTCAGTTCTTTAAATCCCAATAACCAACATAGTTTTCAATAGCCCTGCATATATATTTATATCACAATTATGCCTATGAAGCAACATTTATTTATACACAAATGCTAGAAGTCTAAATAATAAAATCGGTGAACTAGAGTGCCTAGTTTTAAGGGAGGATATTGATATAATAGGCATCACAGAAACATGAGGACAATCAATGGGACACAGTCATACCGGGGTACAAAATATATCTGAAGGATAGAACAGGTCATGCTGGTGGGGGAGTGGCACCATACGTGAAAGAAAATGTAGAATCAAATGATGTAAAAATCTTAAATGAGCCAAAACATTCCATAGAATCTCTATGGGTAGTAATTCCATGCTCCAATAATAAGTATATAGCAGTAGGGATATATTATCCACCACCTGATCAGGACAGTGATAGTGACTATGAAATGCTAAGGGAGATTAGAGAGGGTATCAAATTAAAAAAACCTCAATAATAGTGGGGGATTTCAAGTATCCCCATACTGACTGGGGACACGTCACCTCAGGACGGGATGCTGAGACAAAATTTCTTGATACCTTAAATAGCTGCTTCTTGGAGCAGCTGGTTCTGGAACCCACAAGGGGAGAGGCTATTCTTGATTTAGCCCTAAGTAGAGCGCAGGATCTGGTTCAAAAGGTAAATATAACTGGACTACTTGGAAATAGTGACCATAATGCAATAAAATGTAACATCCCTGTGGTGGAAAAACCCCTCAGCAGCCCAACACTGTGGCATTTAATTTCAGAAAGGGGAACTACACAAAAACAAGGCATAGTTAGTTAAACAGAAATTAAAAGGTAAAGTGACAAAAGTAAAAACTCTGCAAGCTGTACAGAAACTTTTCAAAGACACCATAATAAAGGCTCAACTTAAATGTATACCCCAAATTAAAAAACACAGTAAGAGAACCAAAAAAGTGCCATCATGATAGAGATCTATAAAATCATGACTGGTGTGGAAAAAGTGAATAAGGAAAAGTTATTTACTTATTCCCACAATATAAGAACTAGGGGTCACCAAATTAAATAAATAGGCAGCAGGTTTAAAACAAACCAAATGAAGTTTTCCTTCACATAGCACACAGTCAACCTGTGGAACTCCTTGCCAGAGGATATTGTAAAGACCAGGACTTTAACAGGGTTCAAAAAAGAACTAGATAAATTCATGGGAGTTAGGTCCATCAATGGCTATTAGCTAGGATGGGTAGGAATGGTGTCCCTAGCCTCTGTTTCTATGGAGGTGGGTGACGGGAGAGATCATATGAGGATTATCTGTTGTGTTCCCTCCCTCTGGGGCATCTGGCATTGGCCACTGTCAGCAGACAGATACTGGGCTGGTTAGACTGTTGGTCTGACCCAGTCTGGGCAGTTCTTATGTTTATTTAACTTCTTTGTTACTCTCCTTTGATAGCTAGGAGTGTGAAGATGAAGTACCATGTCTCCCATTGTTTTTACAAACCTGTGCTTGCTTTTATTTATAAAGTTATGTAGCAAATGTAGCACCCACAAGCAAAGGGCTATCGTCAGGCATGCTGTAGGCAGGTGCTGAACAAAAAAATCGACTGATTGTTGATAGAATCTGGGTGAAAGTAACTTTCTGAAAGATACTGAATGAAAACCCGTCCTGCAGGAGACTTTGCCTGCAAAGACATCGGAGTTGCTGTGAGGGTGAGCTGGGACAGTCTAGAATCCTGAGTCACACCATCAGGTTAGTTTAGTTGTACTCAGAAGCACACTTACAGTTGGGCTCATTTCTCAACCACAGACACAAATGATACAATCACACAAATTTAACTGAGACGTATCGCAGTGTGCGGCTGGAACAGTCTCAGAGCAAGAGGCAAGGCAGGGAATAAGCCCAGCACTGGTCCTGCATGGATTTGCCAAGGGAAAATCCTGCCAAACCAACTTGATTTCCTTCTTCTGCAGGGGAGCTGGCTCGGTTGACGGGGGAAGGCGGAGGGCAGAACGTATCTGGTTTGCAGCAAGGCTTCTGACGCAGACCCCCAGCATGTTCTGGTATGTAAGCTCAGCAGAACGCCCAGTAGGTGGCTCCATCACCGGTTAAACAAGCGCAGACCGCTGTTAGATTGGGGGGAGCTCACCAGCATGGTTCCACCGGGATCCCTGCTGGGTCCAGCGCTATTTCCCAGCTCTATTAATGACTGGACACAGGACCAGCGCACAAACCGATCAACTCTGCAGATGACACACAGCGTGCGCGTGTGCGGGGGGGGCAGCTGCCAACACCTCGGAGGCTAGAGCCAAACTTCCAAGGGCCTTGATCAAGTGCAGAACTGGGCTCTAGACAAGGGCATGAGACTCAGCAAAGGCAAATGCCAGGTGCTGTATTTCGGGAAGAGAACCCTGCTGCAAAGGAGCTGGGAGTTGAGGTGGATCCGACCCTCTGCGGGAGTCAGCCATGAGGTGCTGCTGCAGACAAAGCACATGCAACATGAGGCGGACAAAGCACATGCAGAGCACATGCAACAGGCAGAGCAGGCCAGCCATGGGGGTGATAGTACCACTGGGGAGGCCTTGGCAGGAGCCCTGTGTCCCATTTTGGTTGCCAGCGTACAGAAGAGAGAGAGAGAAACTGGAAAGGATCCAGAGGCGAGTGTCAAAGCTGATCCAAGGGACTGAATGCCAGGCACATACGCAAAGGCTGAAGGAACTGGGGAGGTTTAGTTTGGAAAAGAGGAGATGAAGGGGGGGGGACATGATAGCAGCCTAATCTTTGGATGTACCCATAGCAATGAAATGGAGCATTCTTGGAAGCCCAGTGAAAAGAACACAATTAAATCAGTATTAATCCTTTAACTAATGCTACAGTTTAAACAATGTATTCCTCCTAAACAGATACCACAACAAGTCCATGGTGACGGTCAACTCAAGGCATCATTGCTGTATGACCTTGATGTCCAAGTATTTCCACACCCCAAAACCACAGAGGACATGCATTGACCTAGGATGATACTAGGGTTGGAAATGGTCCTGTGAACACCCAGGAATTAACTATCTTTTCCCTGTGACTTCAGGTTTTGGTCATGGTGAGTCTAGTGCAGGCATGTCCAAAGTCCGGCCCGCGGGCCAATTGCGGCCCGTGTTCCGGTTTAATACGGCCCCCCAGGTAATTTGGCAATATCTATCTTTTATGGCCCCCAACGAATCCATATGTATTGAGATGAATACATTGTAAAATCTCAGTTAATGTCAGTTGGTCTAAATCAGTTATAAATATATTTGGACACAACATGTATACTTGGTGTTATGTTCCTGTTCATATTTTTTTAACTTAAAAGTTGACAGACAACCTCTATTACCAATAATATGTAATGTACTTTACAATGTTCCTGACATATATTTCAGCTTCCTGGATTTTTTTTTATCTGGCCTTCAGATATGAAAGGCAGAGTGATTTAACACCTGTTTAGATTTGTCATCCATGTGACGAAATGAAAAGTATGCCGTTTGCAATAAACTTTGCATAAAATAGTTAATTTGTTTTTAATTTTAATGGTTCAAAGAATGTCAGGCAAAATGGTCGGCCCTCACGCATGTTCACTTCATCAAATCTGTCCCTCTTTGAAAAAAGTTTGGACAGCCCTGGTCTAGTGAATAGCTACATTTCTAGCAAGTACTGAGGGTTTCAAGATTTCATCAACTAGAGTAAGAAGCAGCTTCAACTTCGGAGCTGGCAGTTTTACGATAAGGTAACTTGAGCTAAGGTGTGAATGATAAATTCTGTAATCATAAAGGAATGAACCCTTAACTGCTGCAAACACAGTACATTTCTGTTGTGTTGGGGCCAAAACATGTGGAAAACCATGCATTGGAAAACATTATTGCGCCCACAAGGGAGTCAAGCAAGACCAATTGGTAAACAGCTCCAATTTCATCTCATGGCTCAGACCCGTCTCCCACACATCTTTTGCAGTTGACTGGGGGTTGTCCACACACATCTAGCACCTGTAACAAGTCACAACTGAAGGTTCATTCTTCAAACCCTCCCTCCCCACCTTGTTTCAGCTCTGTTCTGAGACAACTCAGCCCTGTTCTTTGGGTTTTGCTGGCTTACTTTCATGGGGCTGTGTCCCCTGGAGTTTACTCTTGCCAGGTGTAGTTTGCTCTGTCTGTGGGATGGCAAAGCTGTTCTGGTTTTGGGATTGTTCTATCAAATTTTAAACAAAGGTAATGGATTCATGCATTCTGCAGATTACCACAGTGATCATCTCATCTCAGCTCCTGCCTAACAAAAGTCATAGAATTTCCCTGAAATAATTTCTGTCTGACCCAGAGCAGTTTGCTTACCAATCCTGAGTTAAAAGTTTGGATTTACAAATCCAATCCTGAGTTAAAAGTTTCCAGTGATGGAAAATTTAGCAGAGACATTGGTAAATTGTTCCAATAGATAAATACTAACCCTAAATTGAAAATTTATGCCTCAATTTTAGTCTGAATTTGTCTAGTTTCAACATCCAGCCATTGGATTTTGTTACATCTTTGACTTTTAAAGTATTCCATATTAATTTTTTATCAGTCTATTTCTTACTCAATATGTTGTGTGATGCCAAGGAAAACACCTTTCAGAAGTCTATTGCATCAACACTATTATTTTTTGCAGCCAAATTTTTAATCTCATTAAAAAAACTATCAAATTAGTTTGACAACTTCCATAAAACCATACTGACTTGTATTACTTATATTACACACCTTTAATTCAAGCATTCATTCATTCATTCAATTAATTAATTAAACCAGTTCAGACTGAATTCTGTTTGTAGAGAACCAACATGACCAATAATTCCAAACTTTCCTTTGTAGAAGGTTCTGATAATTACAGTCCGCAATCCTAGACTGAGCAATGACGGAGCAAACCACAGGAAGATGTGTTGGTGTGTCATACAATACAGCTTGAAGCAGATAACTTGCCCCTTAGATCTGTCATTATGCAGACTGCTTTATACCGCCTGAGAACTATTTGCAAACTTGTGACTGCTGCTCATTAGAACAACACAGGGCTGATGACTAATGCTCATATTTAGCGTGGATTGGCGCAACTGCCTATTTTCTGGGGTACCCCTTCCCAAGAACACACCATATCCAGAGTGAAGCAGATCCTAACAGGGATATGACTGTCACACTACACACTCCAATCTAGGAATCTTCACATTGGCTCAAAGTGCTGCACCAATTCTAAAATTCTTCATTTAACTTTTAAGACTGCTGGGGTAGCACTATTGACCTTAACTGCCTTATGTCTCCATACCCTTCCAGATTAGGACTGATACACCTTGAAAACAACATTTTTCATTAGTGCTGCTGAAAAACATGGCAACTGCTGTGACTAAGTTGCCCTGTAAGACAGTTAGGAGGGAAGGAAGGAGTGTGTAGAGCCTGGGGTGAATACTATGCCATGGCTTTAGAAAAGCATGAACCTAAAGCTTTCAAGACACCAGGAATGTGGATTTTCTCTCAATATTATTTCGCGTTATACAATTTCTCCTGGACATATTTCACAGCAAAGTTAACAGACAAACACCTGTTTTGTATATCTACAGATGCAGAGTCACACGCATCTCTTATGTCAGGACACTGACATCAAAATATATCCCAAGGGCCCGATCCTGTAAGGTGCTAAATGCCACAATTCCCATTGAAACAAACTACTTTTAGGACGCTCATCATCCTGCACAATTTTTTTTAATAATGAAGAAATTGTCTGCAACTAGAGACATGAAGTTACTGGTGGCAAATGGCCTGGAAAGCTGGCGGCGGGGGGGGGGGAAGGATTTCCAATCAGATGGCACTGCTTCAAGGGATGTTTGTGGGGCTCCTTCCATGGCACTTGCATATATACTTACCCTGACGTCAGAACAATCAGTCAATCTGAAATAGCTTGGCTGAGAAAGGTGGAGACAATGAACACATTAGCAATATTCCACCCCTCAGGAGATGTTAAGACCCTTCAGCAGCTATCCATGTCTTCCATGGATAGTCTCTCTCTAACACACACAGGATATCATTATTGTCTAGGTCTTCAAAACAAGCCAGTACCCTTCCAAGGATCGAATGCCGTGGGTTATTTCAAAGTAGCCTAAGATATTTCTTCTTGTGTCTCTCCCAGATCATTTTACAGTGGCCTACCATGGTTTTTTAACAATGCTGCGAGATCACAGATATTTAATTAGAGTTGTTCTTTTCCCGGTGTTAGGGAGAGTCTTTCAGTGCCACAGTGAAGATGTGTATTTAATGGATACATTTAACGCTCAGCCTTTAACATTTAGCAGAGACTGGAGACTTACATATCCATAATGTCCTTTCTGGGAGCAGTTGTAGCAGTACACCAATGCAGAATGCTGAGAATAAGAACTGGACTTCTTGATTGATCCTGGTCTGGTCTGGAATAGGGAAAACAGGTGAGAATTAGGTCTGGGAAATTCAAAATACTGAATTAAAATTAGCTGCACAAAAAGCTGTCTAAATCAACAATGTTCCAGCTGCAAGCAAGAAATCTGGAGATAGAATCAAGTTGCACACGTCACTGTAATATTAGAGCAAATTAAGCCTTGATCACCAAAATCAAGTGGGACAGGAAACTTCAATTTAAATTCCATACAGCCATTTAATTTTGGCTGCTGATTTCTCTCTTTTTTGCAGATGTCCCACTATCCTCAGGGCACAACCAGGGCCATCAGATATAGCTTCCACCAGCTGGACAGGAGCATTTGATCATTGTGAAACGAGTCCCGTCCAGCAGGACGCACTTAAGGCAATATGGGGAAAGTCTTCTGAGACTTCTAAATCTACCACACTTTGAGTTTCTCTCACCTTTGCATCTCCTGTCCCCCCCTCCTGTCATCGCTGAAAAGAATCTGCCAATGTCGATTTTCAAGTCAATTGAGTGGATCTGAATCTGCACCAAACACCAAAGTAAATGATGGTGTTTGGCTGTTTGAAGTGAGAACTAATTTTTATTGCAAAGAAAGATTTGGCCTAGTAAATTAAACTCAGCGAGTCAGGCAGAATTATTTTTTAAATCGAGAACCAATCAATAACAACTTTTGAAGGGAGTGCATGAGCACACCTGTATGTGTTCTAAGTTATACACAGAGCCCCTTTATTCAATAGAAGAGAATAAAAAACAAAACCTTTGTTTAATTAGAGTTGGCAGACATGCAGAGGAAGAGGGATGGAATAAAGGTTCTATGAAAGCAGGTCAAAACAGAATCCAATTAATTTAAAGCGCCACATATTTTCCTTTAGTATCCATTCTAGTGGAACACAAGGAAAAGGTGTGCAATTTCAAACAAGTCATCAATGTTTTCTTTAAGTACCAGTCTTAGTGCAAAGGTTTCTTTTTTTTCCCAAACCTTCTCACTGTGTTCACCACCCATTAATACTTTTAATACCACTACATATTCTTTCTTTTAAAAGAATAATAGTGCTGCATATAAAACAGACAGAAATTATAGGATTGTGCCTTGATCATCTTTTATGCCTGTGACCACATTTTTGGCACACACATAGATTTAAAAGAACGCTTTAGATTCGTGTTACTCAATTCACATGTCATTCATTATACACTATGACTAAAGGATCAGAGAAGGGATATGTCCCATGGAAAACCGTGTAAAAATGGAGCAAAAATCAGAGAGAATGAAAACCAGTGTGTGACAAAAAGAGTGCAAAGAAAAGAAAAAAGAGAAAAATCTCATATAAAACAACAGATATATATTCTCTGAAAACAGAGCTAATAATGTTTTCAGGCCATTCACTTGTGCTAGCTTGGCTTTTTGGACATACTTTTTACTACACCCCAGATTTAATTTACAGGAGAAAAAATCGTAAATTCAAACAGTTTTTGAATAGGTAGTGCGCAAAGCCTTCAATCCTGGCAGATCTGGCCATCTCGTTTTTGGATCCCACATCCTGTCACTGAAGATAAAGTTGCATAGGTGCTAATATATAGCTCCTTAAAAACAGAAATAAGTTACATAACCTGGCTCCTTCTCCCTCTCCCATCATACAAAACCCACAATATATGTTGTGATGCGACCAAGATTTGCAACAGGTCATAAATCTGTGGTTACTTCAGTCACCACTTCATCTAGACTATCTGTGGATTACATCTGTCAAGAGAAGATCAACTGAATTATACCACAAATGACTCTATATTTCTATTAAGACTTAAAAGGGCTATATATCAATGGAAAAATTTGATGAAACGGTTTTATTCTTATAGTTTGTGATGCATTTGGAATATGAAATTGCAACTGATACACATCAGGGACACATATTTTAATCTCAAAATGTGTATTACAATGTTAGTGGGGGTTTTCACACCTTGAACTGTCAAATGGTGTGACATGGATTTAGCAAATGAAAAAATGTAGACTACTAGTATTGTAGTTAAAATCTCTATTAAAATGTACATGAAGCTTAAAACAACATAACCTGATTTTTCTTTTTCCAGAAGAAAGTTTTCTTTTCTCTTGAGAGATGATTTGTTAAATAAACCCCAGATTTAAGGATCAGAATGATGCTGCTAGCATAGACTTTAGCATGTCTGCCACTGATAATGCTAGTAATTTATATGACTAAATGAATAAATAAAAAGTACTTATAGACTCCTTCACTCTAATCCAGTAGTTAAATCTTATAGTTCAAGATAAAAGTAATCCTCCCAGCTCATAAATTACATGTCTACCTCTGTAGTTTGGGTCTTTTCTTCTATTTAAAGATGGTTCAACCCTAGCACTTGAAGTTCTTAGCAGTTACAGCCCCTGACAGCTCTCCTCAGAAGTTCATGTACTGCTGACCTGGCTGATAAAAGTCTGGATGTTAATCCACAAACTCGAATGGCTCTGGTAAATGTTATCTGCATGCTATCGTCTAACAAACGATAGCACCCCGCGCTACGCAGGAGAGGACAGCACTCCAAATAGATCTCACCTCATTAGAAAGCAATAGCACATCAGAACTGGGTGGAGGAAAGAGGGAGGTTAGACGTTTCTTATTGTACAGTACAAGATCTAACAAGAACCCTTGAGGGTATTCACTGCATGAAGAATGTATGCTCATGTGACACTAAAAAGTGCCACACGACACTCCCTTTTGTTTAGCAAATAGAAAAGGTCAGATTTAAGGAGACAAATTAAAGCCAAAGGCTTACAGTTCAGATCACAACTACACACATCTTTACGGCTTTCCAAAAGCCCAAACGCAAGGGGAACTGGGGTGTTTTTAAGCCCTCCATTTTATTATTTAAAGTTTAAAAAAGCATCTAAGAACTTCAATCCAATGAGTACAAAATGAAGTATTTGTGAAAGTAGCTCCTCTGTTATTTTTTTGTTACAGACATTTAAATAATCTATATTTGTAGGGTGATATCTAGGAGATTACTTCACTATCAATATATAGAAGTAATAACCTGGTAGATAGCATTACCTATGAAAGGTCCATCCCATCTGCTATTCTTGCTGAAAGCTTTTCATGCACCAGTAAACTCAGTAAATATCAGAAGATAAAGCATAAGCCGACCACGCCACGGATTTACTCCTAATGTCTCCTCAAAGTGCAGCCCGATGCAACGATTACAAATGATTTTTCTTCTAATGTCATTTTACATAACCCTTTTTTCTGCATGAGTAGCTAGTGCGGAATGAATGAATGAATGCCATTAAAACAGTTAATCATTATCTGGGACACTGGCCTTCCTCCCTTCTCAACCAGGAATCTCCATGACAAAGGCCAAGAGATCAAAATGCCAGGGCTGCCTCAGTGGCCTATTTCTGACAGTAATTTTTTATGCAAATAGGCTTGCTGGGCAGCTCCCTCTGTGACCTTGAGCTGCCCTTATCTAAACTGACTTTGATCCAATGAGGGTTTGCTTATATGAAGCTCATTACTACCTAGGATATGCAATCTGACTAAATCGCTCTAATTAAAGAGAATCTTCTCGTCTCAGTGTGATATTATATGCATGTGTGCGATTACACACACACAGAATCACAGTGACGCTAGAATATGCTCCGTGAATAGAACACTGCCTTTTTGACAAGTCTATTCATTCCACAGTCAAGCACATAATGTCACTTTTAAAGGAAAATACAGTGCTCAACTGCGTACTCCATAACTCACATGTATACAAACCCACACAGCCGTTTTCAACAATGCACAGAACTGCGAGGATTAAATAAAGTTCAGATCTGACACTTACAAAGTCCTTCCAATCCGCATTATTCTGCAATAAACTAAATGGAAACATTTGAAAATGTTGACTTCTCACTTGACTATGGGAGAGAGCCCCGACCAAACGACTAAGTCTAAGTCTATTATGTTCCACGAACACCTAATGGAATGATTTTGACTGCTGAGTAAAATGTGAGAAGTTTCAACGGCCTGTTAATAACCTTAAGCTAAAAGCAAGGTCACTGTTTTCTTACGCTGATCAGGTTTTGCCAGCCATCATTCTGCCTCTGTTTTAAGGCTAATGCCTATTTTCCTGGCTACACCAAACAACATTGTAAGTTAAGTCCACTTTAGCACCCAACATACTCAAACTCTGGAAACTACCTACACCACTTCTCCTATGTAACTGCCCCCTGCAAGTTGTCTTGTACCACCACTGAAGCACCTGGCACCATCCTCTGCTGGTCACAGAATGATAGGATGGTCCCGGGTAGCAAGTAATATGTTTCTATTTCCCTGGCCGAGTCCATTGGCTGCTGCTATTCCTTACTCCATTCTGCTCAGAGAGTATTTTCTCTTTCCGCTGCTAATTAAACAGAAAAAAAATCTTCATCTCAGCCACACGGATGATCCTGCAGTCCTTACTTGGGCGACCCTCCCACCGAAGTCAATGGATGTGTTTTGCATGAGGACCGCAGTCCTAGCCCCTCAATGTGTGACTTAAAAGGACAAGGAAGGAAACGTGAAACTGAGGGTGAAACTCACGGACACAGTGCTACTCCTCCTGCTTTCTGAGACCAGGGCATGGTGGTCTGACAGTGCGTCATTACATACTACAGATGTCACTACAGTTACACGGCAAAATACAGCAAGGGAAGTGACACAGCAATTGCATTACGGTGCAAGCATATTTCATTTCTCTTTAAAAGCAGATCATAATCGATTTGTATTTTAGCAGAAGCCATAGCAACTTTGGGTCATTCCGTTACATTCAAAACTGCCAGTAGCAGCTAACATGTAATGTCGTAATTATACTAAGATTTTTTTAAACCATGTCATGTACCCAATAGACTTCCACTCCACTGGGTAATTCCTTAATTAGGCAGATTTTTGAAATGTGTATTATGTACACAACAGACCGGAACGTCTCCTTTAGAGTATTCCTAGTCTATCGCGTGATTGCATCATTAGGCCACACACACGACGT